AAATTCTTGTAACAATTTTTGCGATCAATCGAAAGCAATAATTCACACAATCTCGTCTACATCCCTCGTGGATTGTCTAAGTCTTAACAAAATAGATCACATCCTATACGTATTACTCACAGTCTTAGCTAAACCAGATATTATACACTTACTCTCGTTGCTGCTAGTCACAGTAACTAACCTATACGAATACTTCAGATCTGACTAATACATCCTTCGCGGGATTAAAAGCGAGCTATACAAATATAAATATTCATTATCGAGCGGATATGTTCAAATGGAAACTTATACGTAACCCGAAATGCTCATTCCAAACCCAACATACAATCGTTGGTTATATCGCTATATGTTCATTATGGAGCGAATATGTTCAAAGAAAAACATATACGTAATCCGAAATGTTCACCTTAAACCCAACAAAAGAGACGTTGGTCGCAACCCGATACATGTTCGGCTTGGTGCGGACTTGTTATTGAGAACTCGTCTGTAAACCAGAATGATCATCCGAAAACCCAATAATCTGAGTATTGGTCTTAACTACATAACGTGTTCACTTCTCAGAGCAGGCTTATTGATTGGAGCTCGCCTGTAAACCGGATTTGACGTCACAAAATAAAATCCAACATACAAAACGTTGGTCACATCACAAGTCAGAAATCTATGTTATTTTTGGAGCAGACTTGTTAAAGAGAACTCGTCCGTAAAACATAATACTTAGCTCAAAACCCAATACACGAGCTATTAGTCGCATCAAAAATCTAAGTTATTTTTAGAGCAGACTTGCTAAAGAGAACTCGTCCGTAAACCATAATACTTAGCTCAAAATCCAATATACAAATTATTGGTAGCATCATAAGTCAGAGTTATTTTTGGAGCGGACTTGTTTATGAGAACTCGTCCGTAAACGATAACACTCATTACAAAACCATCATAACAACAAATTTAAAAGACAGCAATATTGAAAAACCCAATCCATAAATCATCTAGTATCGTTCCTAGATACAAGATAAATATCACAAGGTTCAAAGTCAAGACCAAAGTGGATAAAACCTTCTAGGCACCAAAGCAAATCAAGTATGAAACAAAAACAAAATAACGACATACGGCTAAGGAACAACCTTCTCGGCTCCCTCCTTGGCGGCGCCCTCCTCGACAACGATGTTGGAGTTTCTCGAAACACTTAAACTCGTATCTCGACTTTCTAATCAACGCAAGATGGAACTAACAGTTTGACTCAGCGACAGAGAAATCCAACTTGGCACAAGACATTGGACTTATCATCAATACAAGAACAAAAGTCTTTCCAACTCAACAAAGACACACCTCGGCATAAACACTTCCTAGCATAGGAAGAGACCTTGCCAAGGGGAGACCTTGCCAAGTCGAGACCTCACTAAGGAGAGATCTTGGTGGAATCGGCGAGCTCTCGGGCTAACCTCAACAGAGAGACCTCGCCGAAACCGGCGAGCTCTCAGCTTAACCTCAACAGGAGTCAACACCTTGTCCAGTAGCTCTTCCTTAACCTCAGTGGGACTCAACATCTCTTCAACACGAGGATTCTCCTCAAAAGCATTCAAACGAGTAACATAAGAATGAATCACAGAATTTGATTCAGCATCAGAAATATACAACGAGGCACTAGCCATCAGATTCCCCTAAGTTAACTAACAAAGATGTACTTAGCAAGGGTGATGACAGGAGGAGAGAGATCTCGGCAATACCTGCCGGAGATCTCGGCGGAAGAGAGGATTACTCGGCGATAACAGCCTTGGAGAACCCTTTGGGAGTCCTCGAAAGTATCTAAGGAGATCACGGCTGGGAATCCTCGGCCGCAAGTATTAGGCGATATGATGGCGCTGGATCTAATTTTTAGGATCTCAGCAATACTTAGCAATAGCTCTCGGCAGAATGAAGCTAGTTCTCGACAACGGTTGAGAAAGGTTCTCGTTAGACTCAACTTGGCCGACCACTTGGATACGACCATCAATTCTCTAGATCGATGTCAAGGAATCTCTATGCCGACCTCTGGATCTCGGCAATTGATCAAACCATAAGGAAGATCTCGACAAATCAATCTCCGTTAGAAGACCTCGGTAGGACAATTCTAGTCAACAATACTCAGCAACAATACGATCTCAGAGCCAACCTCTAGGTCTCTGGACAAAGGAGTCCTCGGAAAAACTTGAGACTTAGGCACAATGCCGACTACTACACAAGAATAACGATGCCGAGATGACAATATGGTGAATCAAAGACAAAGCCGATTACAACGAACCAATTGAACTCAGCGCAAGGAGATCTCGGCACAAGGAGATCTCGGCACAAGGAGACCTCGGCACAAAACCCAATAACTGTGGCAATAAATCGAAGTAGGCAAGATTTTGATTCAACCTTGCCACAAGCTTCGAGTAACCACGATGCCGACCTCTATACTTCGAGATCTTGACTCAAGGGAAAACTCGGCAAAGACACAAAAGTGGCAAGATCTCAGCACCAATCACTTGTTGTCGAGATGTCGAAGCAATAAACTCACCAAGAAACGGCCTCGGCACTAACGATCTTGGAGAGACCTCGGCAACATGCTACAGAGCTCGCCTAGTGATGAATGGCAAGATCTTTGAGTCAGTTTTCCCACAAAGTTGGAATTATATCATTCGGATTTGCGGTAAGCAAAATATGCTTGATTTACTGAAGACATGTTGAGCTGCAAGAATAAGCTCGTTCATGCCGAGTTGGAGAGATGAGCTCGGCAAAAACCATAAACACCTCGGATCAAGCCGAAATTTTGACACGAGATAGATAATTAAATAATATTTTATTCAAAAGATATATGAAGTTATTTGGACCGACGGTCAGAAAGCTATGTCAATTATCGTGGAGGCTTATCAATTTGGCCGACCTTACTAGCTGCGACGCGGCAAGTTCGTCACAAAGATGGCCGAGGTTACCACAAAGATTTAGACCAAGCTCATCATCAAATACAAGGCCAAGATCGCAACCGACATCGATGTAACAAGCTCAAATCCTACGATGACAAGGTGACGAGCTCAAAGGTAACAAAGACAACAGTTTTGAGTGTCAAGCTAAACACTAACAAAACATGTTAGCTCGAAAACCTCGACAAGCTTTCGCGAGAGAAGCTTGAGCTCGGTAAACTTTCCCAAACCAAGCTCTAGCTCGACAAGCTTTCACGAAACAAGCTCGAGCTCGACAAGTTTGAATGAAACAAACTTGAGCTAGGCAAGAAACAAGCTCAGGAAATCCAATTCACAATTTCCATTCCTAGAAGGAATATGAAATTTTACTAATTATAAGAAATTGTCGAGCTAAGCATTTCTAAACATGTAAGCTAGGCAATAACAAAATAGGAAATGATACAAAGACTACTCTGTCGTTGCATACTTGTACAGCTTCGACAAAACAAGCTTGAGTTCAATTCATAACAAAATAAAGCTTATGTCGAGTTAAACATTTTTGAAACATGTAAGGTCGACAACTTTAAACAGACAACAAATCTCAATAAACACAAGTCTAGTCGAATCGGAAAAACAAATATGAGTCAGGCTACTACATTTACGGAGGTATGTTAGCTCGGCAGAATGACCACAAGCGAAGATATCCTGACTTGGCGCCATTTTAACACGAAGCTAAGTCTGGTAGCGTCGATCTAGTCTTTGATTCTCTTTAAGCTTTGCACTCTCCTAACGGACACTACCAAACTGGAAGGCTAACTATTGGGGTCAAAACTCCCTCCGACATATTTTTTCCATAAAATGGCTAAGTATGGAAATGGGCATAAATGAGAAAGGTGTCGAGTTCACTCTGGAGACCTGGACAACTCGCCAGAATAACCCATTTCACCTGACACTGGAGCATTATGCCGACCACTATCACTGCCCACCATTGCCTACTCCGACCACTGCCTTGCCGACTACTACCTTGCCGACGTCGCCACCTAGAGTGCTCGGCAGCTCGCCAACATCGCCATCATGGAGAGCTCGACAATGGCCAAGAAAGGCCTGAGTTAGTACATTTGGCCCATCACAAGGCATTAGGCCGAGAACACAGGTCCAGGATGGCGAAGTGACGAGGTCAAGCCCACAACGACTGAGCCTGTGGCACGTGCTGACTACGATAAATGGAAATCCCGACAAATAAGGAAATCTTTCTGATTTACTTAGTAAAAAACTCTAGCCGACTTTAGACTTGTATATATACTCTTGTAACTCCTCTGAAAAAAGGATTCGCAGCTTTACATGCAAACACTTAGCAAAAATCAATAGAAGCTTTCTTAACGTATTTTTCGTGTTTTTGTCTTTGTTCTTGATTATTCTTGTGATTATTTCCCAGAGATCTCGTTTCTCTTAAAAACCCCTTGACAAATTCAATTGTGTTGGTTTCGACCTCCACAGTTTTCTTCAGCCTGATTGCTACCATCTTAATTTGCTTATTCTCAGGAACACCCATGACATCAAAGAATCGATCAACATGGATCTGCCAATTTAGAAAATCTTCCACCCTCATAGTTCCGTAAAACAATGGAATATCAGCTTTTACTTGATAATCATGATTGTTTTGTCGATTTAGTGGTTCAGCTACCTCTTTTCCACAGACTTTTCATCATCAGAACTCGAATTTTCAACGGTAACATCAGGATTGTTTCTAGCCCTTGGAACCACTTCTCTGTCTCTTTGTTGATTTTCGTTAACCCTAACCATTTCTCCTCCTCTGTCTCTTAGTTGATTGTTGTTGTTGGCGTTTCTTATCTCAATCAATAAATTTGCGATCTGAGCGCTCAAAGCGGTTATAGCCGCAGTGAAACCCTCAAGATCAACTTTAGTAGCTTGTTGATCTCCCATGATCAAGTTTTCAAAAGAAACAGGAGAAAGCCTTCTCTGATACAACTTCACACAGTCGGAAAACCCTAGAAAAAGCAAGCGCTAAATCTAGATGAAAATTAAGTTCACAAGCGATGAACTTGAAAGATAAAACTGTGGAATCCACCAGAATAGGGTTTTGGAATCTACCAAACAGAGAAAACTCTGAAAGTTTCTATTAAGAAAAATAAGATATCCCCTTGGCTACAAGATAAAAGTGTTTAAATAGCAAAACAAAACTCTAAGAAAATATCCAAAACCCAAAAGTAAAAAAAAATAATTAACTAAGAAAAAGAAAACGTTTTATTCAATGTCTCCTACATCACAATACTCTCTCACAGAGTTAATGAAGAGAAAGAGTTGTGGTATGTTGTGAACAAGCTAGATGTTAATACTAATCAGAATACCTCAAATTTCTCGTCGACTGATCGATGGCAACCTCCACCTCAAGGTACGGTGAAATGTAATGTGAATGTAAACTGGAGAAACGCTAGCTTACACAGGGGAGGAGCTTGACTAATGAGGGATCACTGTGGGCAGGTGTTATAGCATGCAAGAGATGGCTTTACTCCTTCTCAAAACCGAATTACGGCAGAGTTACGATGTATAGCATGGACGATGCTGAGTATTCATGACTTGCGGTTTCAAGATGTCATCATTGGTTTTGATTGTCAAGCAGTGGGCAAAACTTTGGCGAAACCATGGGAATGGCCGAGATATAGATATTTCTTGGATACAATCTTTAAGTTTCAAACGACATTTTAAAACTGTGTGTTTGAATGGGAAACGCTACGGGAAAATGGGATAGTTTAGGATATTGCCAAGAGTGTGTTGCGTGACGGAAAGTTCCAATCTTATCTAGCGATCGGAGGCCCGACATGGCTCCATGATCGTGTATTACGGGAGTCTCAAGGGTAGCATATGTTAGACCTTATCTTTAGGCTTATGATGCGTTTTGTTTTGTGTTTAAGTCTCCCATGTTCTTGTTCTTTGATCTCTGTTTTGAGACAGAGCTGAACTCTTCATGTCACCTTTATTTTCATGAATGAATTTCACAGACGTTAAAAAAAAAGAGTTTATTTTCCGACACAACTAATAACTAATAATAAAAGGGTAGACTCATTGCT